CAGTGAGACATAATTTCATATTTGGGGGGGGGGGTCTTTGTTTTGGCTCCTCTTGCAGTTGGGAACGGCTCTGGATGGAGTCGGGAGATCTGAAGTACAAACAGTAAACTGTCTCTATCGGCTGTTGATAAGAGAAGCCGGCCGGGGAGATTAGCGGGCTATAATGGGCCGGTATCTCTGTGCTGACAAAAAAGAGGACTCTGAACAATCTGTCACATGTGTTGCTGTATTTTAAGTCTTTGTTTCCATCTCCAGAATGTCATCTAAAAAGGGTCATTTAATCCCACATTGGCCCCCCGGCCCCTCACACATCCGCACACAAGCTGGGAACAATACGAGGGTTAATCCACCTGGGAGAACCCAAAATATATCAGATATTTCCATCCTGGACTCTGTCCTTGACCGGGTCTGTATCCACCAGGAGAGAGGCAGTCCGGGAAGTACAGGAACATGCCTGGGGATATCTGGAGACACAGGGTGCTGGGAGGTCACTGTATGCTGGGGTCACTGGGGACACCGGGGTGGCTGGAAACACTGGGGTCACTGAAGACACAGAGGTTGTTGGAGACACAGGGGTCACTGGAGTTGCTAGAGACTCAAGCGTCAATGAGGTGCACAAAGAACAGATAATGACTGAAGGCATAGGAGTGCAGGGGGTCACTGGAGGCACCTGAGTTGCCAGAGACACAGAGGTTTTTGGAGACACCAAGGTCACTGGAGACACTGGGTTTACTGGAGACACAGGGGTCACTGGAGACACTGGAGTTGCTGGAGACACAGGGGTCACTGGAGACACTGGAGTTGCTGGAGACACAGGGGTCACTGGAGACACTGGAGTTGCTGGAGACACAGGGGTCACTGGAGACACTGGAGTTGCTGGAGACATAGGGGTCACTGGAGTTGCTGGAGATACAGGGGTCACTGGAGACACCGGAGTTGCTGGAGACACAGGGGTCACTGGAGACACTGGAGATACAGGGGTCACTGGAGACACGGGGGTCACTGGAGACACTGGAGTTGCTAGAGACACAGGGGTCACTGGAGACACTGGACTTGCTGGAGACACCGGGGTCACTGGAGACACTGGAGTTGCTGGAGACACAGGGGTCACTGGAGATATAGAGGTTGTTGGAAATCCCTAGAGAGCACAAAGAATCACTGAAACCACAGGATTACTGGAGGCACAGGAGCGCTGAGGTCACTGGTGGCGCAGAAGTGCAGGGGTCACTGAAAGCATAAAGGCCAATGGAGATCACTGGAGTGTCTAAAGGATCATTGAAGGCACAGGAGTGCAGACATCACTGGAGACACAGGAGTGCAGGGGTCATTGCAGGCAGAGGAGTACAAAGGTCACTAGAAACATAGAGGCCACTGAAGTGCACAAAGTATCATTGAAGGCACAGGAGTGCAGAGGTCACAGGAGTGCAGGGGTCACTGGAGGCACAGGAGTGCAGAGGTCACTGGAGGCACAGGAGTGCAGAGGTCAATGGAGGCACAGGAGTGCAGAGGTCAATGGAGGCACAGGAGTGAAAGAGTCACTGAAGGCACAGGAGTGCAGAGGTCAATGGAGGCACAGGAGTGCAGGGGTCAATGGAGGCACAGGAGTGCAGGGGTCACTGGAGGCACAGGAGTGCAGGGGTCACTGGAGGCACAGGAGTGCAGGGGTCACTGGAGGCACAGGAGTGCAGGGGTCACTGGAGGCACAGGAGTGCAGGGGTCACTGGAGGCACAGGAGTGCAGGGGTCAATTGAGGCACAGGAGTGCAGGGCTCAATGGAGGCACAGGAGAGCAGAGGTCAATGGAGGCACAGGAGTGAAAGAGTCACTGAAGGCACAGGAGTGCAGAGGTCAATGGAGGCACAGGAGTGAAAGAGTCACTGAAGGCACAGGAGTGCAGAGGTCAATGGAGGCACAGGAGTGCAGGGGTCACTGGAGGCACAGGAGAGCAGAGGTCAATGGAGGCACAGGAGTGCAGGGGTCACTGGAGGCACAGGAGAGCAGAGGTCAATGGGACACAGGAGAGCAGGGGTCACTGGAGGCACAGGAGTGCAGGGGTCAATGGAGGCACAGGAGTGCAGGGGTCAATGGAGGCACAGGAGTGCAGGGGTCAATGGAGGCACAGGAGTGCAGGGGTCACTGGAGGCACAGGAGTGCAGGGGTCACTGGAGGCACAGGAGTGCAGGGGTCACTGGAGGCACAGGAGTGCAGGGGTCACTGGAGGCACAGGAGTGCAGAGGTCAATGGAGGCACAGGAGTGCAGGGGTCAATGGAGGCACAGGAGTGCAGGGGTCACTGGAGGCACAGGAGTGCAGGGGTCACTGGAGGCACAGGAGTGCAGGGGTCACTGGAGGCACAGGAGTGCAGGGGTCACTGGAGGCACAGGAGTGCAGGGGTCACTGGAGGCACAGGAGTGCAGGGGTCAATGGAGGCACAGGAGTGCAGGGGTCACTGGAGGCACAGGAGTGCAGGGGTCACTGGAGGCACAGGAGTGCAGGGGTCACTGGAGGCACAGGAGTGCAGGGGTCACTGGAGGCACAGGAGTGCAGGGGTCACTGGAGGCACAGGAGTGCAGGGGTCACTGGAGGCACAGGAGTGCAGGGGTCACTGGAGGCACAGGAGTGCAGGGGTCAATGGAGGCACAGGAGTGCAGGGGTCAATGGAGGCACAGGAGTGCAGGGGTCAATGGAGGCACAGGAGTGCAGGGGTCACTGGAGGCACAGGAGTGCAGGGGTCACTGGAGGCACAGGAGTGCAGGGGTCACTGGAGGCACAGGAGTGCAGGGGTCACTGGAGGCACAGGAGTGCAGGGGTCAATTGAGGCACAGGAGTGCAGGGCTCAATGGAGGCACAGGAGAGCAGAGGTCAATGGAGGCACAGGAGTGAAAGAGTCACTGAAGGCACAGGAGTGCAGAGGTCAATGGAGGCACAGGAGTGAAAGAGTCACTGAAGGCACAGGAGTGCAGAGGTCAATGGAGGCACAGGAGTGCAGGGGTCACTGGAGGCACAGGAGAGCAGAGGTCAATGGAGGCACAGGAGTGCAGGGGTCACTGGAGGCACAGGAGAGCAGAGGTCAATGGGACACAGGAGAGCAGGGGTCACTGGAGGCACAGGAGTGCAGGGGTCAATGGAGGCACAGGAGTGCAGGGGTCAATGGAGGCACAGGAGTGCAGGGGTCAATGGAGGCACAGGAGTGCAGGTGTCAATGGAGGCACAGGAGTGCAGGGGTCACTGGAGGCACAGGAGTGCAGGGGTCACTGGAGGCACAGGAGTGCAGGGGTCACTGGAGGCACAGGAGTGCAGGGGTCACTGGAGGCACAGGAGTGCAGGGGTCAATGGAGGCACAGGAGTGCAGGGGTCACTGGAGGCACAGGAGTGCAGGGGTCACTGGAGGCACAGGAGTGCAGGGGTCACTGGAGGCACAGGAGTGCAGGGGTCACTGGAGGCACAGGAGTGCAGGGGTCACTGGAGGCACAGGAGTGCAGGGGTCACTGGAGGCACAGGAGTGCAGGGGTCACTGGAGGCACAGGAGTGCAGGGGTCAATGGAGGCACAGGAGTGCAGGGGTCAATGGAGGCACAGGAGTGCAGGGGTCACTGGAGGCACAGGAGTGCAGGGGTCACTGGAGGCACAGGAGTGCAGGGGTCACTGGAGGCACAGGAGTGCAGGGGTCACTGGAGGCACAGGAGTGCAGGGGTCAATGGAGGCACAGGAGTGCAGGGGTCACTGGAGGCACAGGAGTGCAGGGGTCACTGGAGGCACAGGAGTGCAGGGGTCACTGGAGGCACAGGAGTGCAGGGGTCACTGGAGGCACAGGAGTGCAGGGGTCACTGGAGGCACAGGAGTGCAGGGGTCAATTGAGGCACAGGAGTGCAGGGCTCAATGGAGGCACAGGAGAGCAGAGGTCAATGGAGGCACAGGAGTGAAAGAGTCACTGAAGGCACAGGAGTGCAGAGGTCAATGGAGGCACAGGAGTGAAAGAGTCACTGAAGGCACAGGAGTGCAGAGGTCAATGGAGGCACAGGAGTGCAGGGGTCACTGGAGGCACAGGAGAGCAGAGGTCAATGGAGGCACAGGAGTGCAGGGGTCACTGGAGGCACAGGAGAGCAGAGGTCAATGGGACACAGGAGAGCAGGGGTCACTGGAGGCACAGGAGTGCAGGGGTCAATGGAGGCACAGGAGTGCAGGGGTCAATGGAGGCACAGGAGTGCAGGGGTCAATGGAGGCACAGGAGTGCAGGTGTCAATGGAGGCACAGGAGTGCAGGTGTCAATGGAGGCACAGGAGTGCAGGTGTCAATGGAGGCACAGGAGTGCAGGGGTCACTGGAGGCACAGGAGTGCAAGAGTCACTGAAGGCACAGGAGTGCAGGGGTCACTGGAGGCACAGGAGAGCAGAGGTCAATGGAGGCACAGGAGTGCAGGGGTCACTGGAGGCACAGGAGAGCAGAGGTCAATGGGACACAGGAGAGCAGGGGTCACTGGAGGCACAGGAGTGCAGGGGTCAATGGAGGCACAGGAGTGCAGGGGTCAATGGAGGCACAGGAGTGCAGGGGTCACTGGAGGCACAGGAGTGCAAGAGTCACTGAAGGCACAGGAGTGCAGGGGTCACTGGAGGCACAGGAGAGCAGAGGTCAATGGAGGCACAGGAGTGCAGGGGTCATTGGAGGCACAGGACCCCAGGGGCCATTATAGAGGCACAGGAGTGCAAGAGTCACTGAGGGCACAGGAGTGCAGGGGTCATTGGAGGCACAGGAGAGCAGAGGTCAATGGAGGCACAGGAGTGCAGGGGTCATTGGAGGCACAGGACCCTGGGGTCACTGGAGGAAGAGGGTTCACAGTAACTGGAAGCATGGCAGACATTGGAGGCACAGGAGGAACCCAGCTTGGGTGTGCCAGAGGTTACATGTGACAAATCGCAGATACATCATTGGTGACAGAGTGTTCCCGCCATAACAGCCTTTTGAAGTGAGCTACACGTCATATTGGCATTGGGAGAACACATGGGCGGTGTACTCATTTAGGGTGCTGACCAGGGGTGAGCGTGACCTCAGAGACATTGATTTGGGCTACAGAATTCCCTGTAATACATTTACCAAATTTTGGCAAAAATATGCTTTTAATGTCACCAAATTTTCTGCTTCGGTGGAATTCTCCTATAAAGAATATTAGGATGACCCTCCCCCATGGTGCTCTGTAAGCTGTTTGTGTCCCTTGTCTTCTGTATTTTGTTATTTTCACACAAAAAAGGAAACAAAGGGGGGGGGGAGCAAAACACATTTTTTAAAAATCCCAGGGCCTTTCACTGTAATAGGAACATTCACCGCCCCCCGCCCATTTTTGGCTCCTCCCCTCTACCCACATGGAGTGAAGGTGACAGGTTAGCTTTAGTAAAGTGAAATAAATTTGTGGAGACCTGCTCGGGTTCCTCTGCTGACAACGCCGCGCAGCGAGCTCTGGTGAAGGACCGGCGAGTTGTCATTTTCATCCGTCACTTCTATGATGACCGTCACCGTCTCGTCCCCTCCGATCACCTGTGTGCCGAAAACAGGGAAGTGCGGTTATTTGGATGTGATCGGCCATACAGAGCCCGGTGCCCGAGCCTTCATCTGGGTGAGATGACGGATGAGATGACGGATGAGATGAAGGATAAGATGAAGGATAAGATGAAGGATAAGATGATGGATAAGATGAAGGATAAGATGAAGGATAAGATGATGGATGAGATGAAGGATGAGATGAAGGATAAGATGAAGGATGAGATGATGGGGGAGATGAAGGATAAGATGAAGGATAAGATGATGGATGAGATGAAGGGGGAGATGAAGGATGAGATGAAGGATAAGATGAAGGATGAGATGAAGGATAAGATGAAGGATGAGATGAAGGATGAGATGAAGGATAAGATGAAGGATGAGATGAAGGATAAGATGAAGGATGAGATGAAGGATAAGATGAAGGATGAGATGATGGGGGAGATGAAGGATAAGATGAAGGATAAGATGAAGGATAAGATGAAGGATGAGATGAAGGATGAGATGAAGGATGAGATGAAGGATAAGATGAAGGATAAGATGATGGATAAGATGAAGGATGAGATGAAGAATGAGATGAAGGATAAGATGAAGGATAAGATGATGGATAAGATGAAGGATGAGATGAAGGATGAGATGAAGGATGAGATGAAGGATGAGATGAAGGATAAGATGAAGGATGAGATGAAGGATGAGATGAAGGATGAGATGAAGGATGAGATGAAGGATAAGATGAAGGATGAGATGAAGGATGAGATGAAGGATGAGATGAAGGATAAGATGAAGGATAAGATGAAGGATGAGATGAAGGATGAGATGACGGATGAGATGACGGATGAGATGACGGATGAGATGATGGATAAGATGAAGGATAGGAGAAAGGATAAGATGAAGGATAAGATGATGGATAAGATGAAGGATGAGATGAAGGATAGGAGAAAGGATGAGATGATGGATCAGATGAAGGATGAGATGATGGGGGAGATGAAGGATGAGATGAAGGATAAGATGAAGGATGAGATGAAGGACGAGATGAAGGACGAGATGAAGGATAAGATGAAGGATAAGATGAAGGATGAGATGAAGGACGAGATGAAGGACGAGATGAAGGACGAGATGAAGGACGAGATGAAGGACGAGATGAAGGACGAGATGAAGGACGAGATGAAGGACGAGATGAAGGACGAGATGAAGGATAAGATGAAGGATAAGATGAAGGATGAGATGAAGGATAAGATGAAGGATGAGATGATGGATCAGATGAAGGATGAGATGATGGGGGAGATGAAGGATGAGATGAAGGATGAGATGAAGGATGAGATGATGGATGAGATGATGGATGAGATGAAGGATAAGATGAAGGATGAGATGATGGATCAGATGAAGGATGAGATGATGGGGGAGATGAAGGATGAGATGAAGGATGAGATGAAGGATGAGATGATGGATAAGATGAAGGATAGGAGAAAGGATAAGATGAAGGATAGGAGAAAGGATGAGATGATGGATCAGATGAAGGATGAGATGATGGGGGAGATGAAGGATGAGATGAAGGATGAGATGAAGGATGAGATGAAGGATGAGATGAAGGATGAGATGAAGGATGAGATGAAGGATGAGATGAAGGATGAGATGAAGGATGAGATGAAGGATGAGATGAAGGATGAGATGAAGGATGAGATGAAGGATGAGATGAAGGATGAGATGAAGGATGAGATGAAGGATGAGATGAAGGATGAGATGAAGGATGAGATGAAGGATGAGATGAAGGATGAGATGAAGGATGAGATGAAGGATGAGATGAAGGATGAGATGAAGGATGAGATGAAGGATGAGATGAAGGATGAGATGAAGGATGAGATGAAGGATGAGATGAAGGATGAGATGAAGGATGAGATGAAGGATGAGATGAAGGATGAGATGAAGGATGAGATGAAGGATGAGATGAAGGATGAGATGAAGGATGAGATGAAGGATGAGATGAAGGATGAGATGAAGGATGAGATGAAGGATGAGATGAAGGATGAGATGAAGGATGAGATGAAGGATGAGATGAAGGATGAGATGAAGGATGAGATGAAGGATGAGATGAAGGATGAGATGAAGGATGAGATGAAGGATGAGATGAAGGATGAGATGAAGGATGAGATGAAGGATGAGATGAAGGATGAGATGAAGGATGAGATGAAGGATGAGATGAAGGATGAGATGAAGGATGAGATGAAGGATGAGATGAAGGATGAGATGATGGATAAGATGAAGGATAGGAGAAAGGATAAGATGAAGGATAGGAGAAAGGATGAGATGATGGATCAGATGAAGGATGAGATGATGGGGGAGATGAAGGATGAGATGAAGGATGAGATGAAGGATGAGATGAAGGATGAGATGAAGGATGAGATGAAGGATAGGAGAAAGGATAAGATGAAGGATAGGAGAAAGGATGAGATGATGGATCAGATGAAGGATGAGATGATGGGGGAGATGAAGGATGAGATGAAGGATGAGATGAAGGATGAGATGAAGGATGAGATGAAGGATGAGATGAAGGATAGGAGAAAGGATAAGATGAAGGATAGGAGAAAGGATGAGATGATGGATCAGATGAAGGATGAGATGATGGGGGAGATGAAGGATGAGATGAAGGATGAGATGAAGGATGAGATGAAGGATGAGATGAAGGATGAGATGAAGGATGAGATGATGGATGAGATGATGGATGAGATGAAGGATAAGATGAAGGATGAGATGATGGATCAGATGAAGGATGAGATGATGGGGGAGATGAAGGATGAGATGAAGGATGAGATGAAGGATGAGATGATGGATAAGATGAAGGATAGGAGAAAGGATAAGATGAAGGATAGGAGAAAGGATGAGATGATGGATCAGATGAAGGATGAGATGATGGGGGAGATGAAGGATGAGATGAAGGATGAGATGAAGGATGAGATGAAGGATGAGATGAAGGATGAGATGAAGGATAGGAGAAAGGATAAGATGAAGGATAGGAGAAAGGATGAGATGATGGATCAGATGAAGGATGAGATGATGGGGGAGATGAAGGATGAGATGAAGGATAAGATGATGGATAAGATGAAGGATGAGATGAAGGATGAGATGAAGGATAAGATGATGGATAAGATGAAGGAGGAGAGCACCACAGATCTGGAGTCTCTGTGGTTCTGTCACATGTGTCACATGACATATACTGTACGCTGCTCCTGGTGATTTGGCAATGTGACCAGATTACCGTTACGGTGTAATTCGCCTTCTCCTCCCGATCGAAGGGCTTGAGGGCGCACAGAAATCCTGACACCAGATCCAGCTCGAATATTCCGTCCTCGTTTCCAGCCAGCTCCGCCTTGTACAAGACGTCTGCTGCCAGCTCTACCTAGAAGAGAGGTTACTGTGAGGACAGCTGACCAGTCCTTAGATGTGGTGACTGCATTAGTTTTCTTTTCTCTTTATTTTCACCTGTTGATCCTGCCGGGGGACTTCCTGTCCTGGTGACTTCCTATCCTAGTGTGACAACACTCACTCACTGTACTCATACATGGCCCTCTGTGCCACCGATGCAAAGTCCCTGGCCATGTCCCCGGATCACATGCGCAATAAATTAAAAAAGGCATTAATTTGGGGAGTGGGGTCCAGGAGTGGGGGGTTCCCACATGTTTAGAGTTGGGGTCTGGGCTGGAACAACCCATAAATTTGACATGATGGATGGTCCTGAATATTTAGAGGTGGGGGTCTGGGCGGATCTAACCCTTAAAGTAGGCAGTACGAGTGGTTCTGAATGTTTAGAGGTGCGGTCGGTGGGGTCTAACCCTTAAAGTAGGCATCATGGGTGGTCCCAAATTTTTAGAGGTGGGTCAGGGGGTCTAACACTTAAAGTACGCCTAATGGGTGGTCCTTAATATTTAGAGGTGGAGTCTGGATGGGTCTAATCCTTAAAATAGGCATCATGGGTGGTTCTGAATATTTAGAGGTTGGGTGTGGTCAGATCTAATCCATAAAGTAGGCATTATGCTTGGTTCTGAGGAGGGGTCTGGGCGGGTCTATAAATAGGCATCCTGGGTGGTTCTGAATATTTAGAGGTTGGGTGTGGGCAGATCTAATCCATAAAGTAGGCATTATGCTTGGTTCTGAGGAGGGGTCTGGGCGGGTCTAACCCTTAAAGTAGGTATCATGAGTGGTCCCACATATTTAAAGTTGGGGTCTGGGCGGGATGTGGGCATGCCAACCCAAACAATGCCTTAGGGACTCATTTATAAAAGAAGCCACCACTGCCCATAACAGCCAATCAGATATCAGTTTTCCCCCTCCAGCCTGCTCTCGGAAAACGACACCTGCGATCTGATTGGTTCTTCAAGGTAGAGCCTTTTTTTTTTTTCGCTCTCTGTATCTGAGCCTTGAAACTTTTTTTTATTAATGTGATTTTCTGCTTTGCAGAGCTCAGACGAAAGCTGCCCGCCGCGTCCCGGGGTCGGTTCCAGGCGAAGCTGCGCACCTGCGCTGAGAACATTGGCGTCTTTGTAAGCGTTGCCGCCGGCAATTGTCTGCTTTGTGTCCCTGTGTGAATAGCTTGTCCGAGGTCGAGATTCTCCCCCCGTCACGTGTTCCTTCTGCGCGCCTCGGATAAATTGCATTCAATGAACGTCAGAGCGGCAGCCGTGACCCGGCGGGTGATGAACGCTGCAATTCAAACCGTTTCTGCTTCTCACGTGGAGCCGCTGTACAAAAGAGAACCTGTCACGTCTGACTTTCTACAGAGATCTCTGTGCAGCCAGACCTATGACAGATTCACATAAATATGGCTCCATTTACTGCGACCCCCTCCAGACCTCCACCGCAGCCTTACCTTGGTCAGGTACCAGGGCCAGGGCCCTCTGTAGTTCTCAGTCCCCCGAATCCTCTTCACACGGGTAGAAGACACCCCCACCTGCACCAAACAGAGACCTTCACATGTGAATCTGTCAATGGATCCGTACAGCAAAAATCAGAGACTATAAATACCAGACACTCAGGGGAAGCCAATATAAGATCGCAACGTTGTATCAATATTCGTGTTGTATCAGCTTCAGCCAATTGGATGTGTACGCAGATAACTCTCCAAAGGTCACATAATATTATACATTGATATAGCTCTGACATATACCACAGTTAGGATAAGTTGAACCCTTGGAATGTCTGAAATTTTTTCTTATGTGTTTCATTCATGTTCTGTTACCAAGCTTACACATTACCTGAACTGAGACCCAGAAGAGGACAGCCACATAGAAACGCGACATCCTGCAAACACTCTGCAAATAAAAATCAGGCTCATTATCACACCGACATGATTCACACAGATCCCTCATTAACCAATCTGGTTGGTTTCTTTGGCAGGTCAGACAGTGTGGTAAATAAAGTGACTACAAACACTGCAGTCAGCACAAGTTCAGGTGGCCAAACTGCGTCATACTGCAACTATGAACCTTTTAGAATTCCTCAACATTCTTCACCTGATACAAAGGATTTTGCCGTTTCAATGGATATCAAATGCAAACACTATATGACCAAAACTATGTGGACAACCCACCAAGTGACTGTGTTCAGGTGTCTCCAGTGAAGGTTCTGTTAATTCTAAATCACACAAAGACATTGTAGACAATTGTGCTCTTCCAGCCTTGTGGTCACAGTTTGGTGAAGACGCTTTTCCGTTCCACCATGACTGTCCCCTGTGTACAAAGCCAGCTCCATAAAGACATGGTGTGACCAGTTTGGTGGAGGAACTCGAGTATTACGAACCTGGTCTGGGAGACTGGATGGTTGAGGAGGCTTCCCTTGCACCTCGTGTCTAAAAGCCTTTGAGGATGGTGACAGAGGCCAGGCAGACACCGAGTGGCACGAGTGCCAGTAGTTATGAAACCGTGCAAGTAAAAGGGTAATCCAGAATTCAAAGTCGAGGCAAGCCGAGGTCAAAATCCAGGAGGTCAGTTGCAGTACCGAAGGAAGAGGCAGAAGAATAATCAAAACAGTCCAGGGTCAAAAAGGCAGGCGGCAGTCAAGGCAGGTAGTTGAGGCAGGAACGGGTCAAAATCCAGGCAACGGCAATCTAATATTCAACACAGGAAACAGGAGACACAACACAGACAGGAGCTGATAAGACAATCCAGCAAGTAAGTGACAGGCTGGCTTGGTTTAAATAGGGAAGTGAACTAATCAATTATGTCACTTCCTGTGCGCCTTTGGCACATTTTTCTTAGAACACGCTCCATCTGCGCATCACTTCCTGTGCGCCATACTGCGCGTCTTTCTGTGGGAAGTGGTCGTTGTGCGCATGCGCGTATTCTTCTGCCTAGCGGTACTTGGCGCATGCGTAGAACGGGCATGGTGCTTACATCGAGTGTCCTGCACAGAGACCTGACCTCAACCCTACTGAGCACCTTTGGGATGATTTGGAACACCAATGGTAAGCCAGGTCTTCTCATCCAACATCGGTACCTGACCTCACAAATGGGATAAATTCCCACAGACACCCTCCAAAATCTTGTAGAAGCCTTCCCAGAAGAGTGGAAGATGTTATAGCCGCAAAGGGGGGCCAACTCCATATCAATAGGTCATCTGGGACGGCAACTCCATATTAATGGCCATGAGGTTGGAGGACAATGCAATAGAAATGGCCATCAGGGGAGGAACAACTCCATATTAATGACCATGGGGGAGGGGGGCAACTCCATAAAAATGGCCATGAAGAGGTGCAATGCCATCGTAATGGCCATGGGGGGAGTGGCAACTCACTGTTATCGCCTATGGTGGGAGGGGCAACTCTATATTAATCGCCATGGTGGGAGGGGCAAGTCTATATTAATGGCTATGGGAGAAGGGGACCACTACAAATTAATGGTCACGGTGGGAGGTGCAAGTCTACATCATTGGCTTTGGTGGAAGGGGCCACTCTACATTAATGGCCATGGTGAGAGGAGCAACTCTATATTAATGGCCATGGAGAGGGGGCAATTCTATATTAATGGCCATGGAGAGGGGGCAACTATATGTCCAACATGCTCATATAGGTGTTGTGATCTGGTGTCCACAAATCTTTGACCACATAGTGTATAAGATATGGCCATTGTCCATGAATTATTATTTATTGGGTTATGGTTAGGTGGATGGATGTGTTATGAGTTGGGGTTCACCTCAACTGATGGGTTCATTGTTAGGGTAAGCTGAAGGGTTCAGGCTTAGAAGTCTAAAAGAACACACAATTAATGATTGGATAGGTATGATGGACATGCCATACTGTCACATGTCATACTGGGGCCATACCATGCAAGACCATGCCATACAGTGCACATGTTGTACAAGGGCTATGCCATATGGTTCAGATGCCATATAGGGCCATATAGGGCCATGGCTTCTCCTCCCAGCGGAGCTCTGCTCTGCCTCCCCATCATCCAACAACCCAACACAAGAAGTTCAAAGGTCTGCAGAGACACGTTTGTTACACCAGGTCCTGTCAATACATTGGAACTACGAGGGCTCCTTTTGCCAGGGTCCACTCTGGCCCCCAGCCCTGTGTGAGAGGAAGAAGAAGTCACATGCTCCCTCATATCCAGAATTACTTGATATTTCACTTGGGCGAGAGAACAGTAGACATGGAATGTAGGGCAGATGAGTATAAAATGGGGGAAAGGGCCATTAAGTGAGCTGAATGGACAAATACAAGATCACAACCAAATACATAAACCACAAACAGAAAAAGATGGTGTTTGGCAGAAGAAAAGAGGACGACTTGGTGTAATGGTGGAGAAGAATCAATCATACAATAAAACAGGAGTTCACAGACTGGTCATCAGATCTAAATCCACTGTGTATGTCCATTCTAGATCCACCAATGAACCAAAACTGTGCAAATCCCACTCACAACCAAAAGCAAAATCCACAATTATCAACATTATCAGAGAAAACCAGGAGCAGCCATGTTTCTTACCTGCTCTGATCCGTGAAGGACAAAAAGCCCAAATTAAGCAGCTTGATATAATAAAATAACCGGCCGGTTAATAATTGACTTTATAATTAAAATGCTCCAATCGCTAACAGCTCGGCGCGTCCTGAAGGTTGCCGTGTTCGCTGCTCAGAGCTGCCTACAGAAAGTTTAACTTGATGGAATCAGAAGTACTCGAGGCCGATGTCTGGGTGATTCCTGTTAACCTCAGAGTGCTCGGTTCAAAGTTTGTTGTTCATACAATAGGACATTGTACGATTTTGGGACTGTAGAGTAAAGATGAGGGGTTAGGCTGAGAGGTATTGAAGGTAGGTTGAGGGTCAGAGTTATGATTAGCGGGTTAGAGCTTATAAAACATTTTGAATAAATTGATTTACATTTACTTGAATTACTTAAAAAATTAGTTTATGGAAGCTCAGTAGAGGGTTAGGTTTTATGGGTAAATGTTAGGGTCATCGTTAGGGGTTGAAGGTTAGAGTCTCAGTGATTAGTTTAAAGGTTAGGGTCATGTGCGCCGGTTGGTGATTAGTTTGAGGGCTAAGGTCATGGCTATGGTTAGTAATTAGGTTGAGGGTTAGGATCATACTTGTGGTTAGTAATTAGGTTGAGGGTTAGAGATATGGCTATAGTTAATGATAAGTTGAGGGTTAGAGTCATGGTTAAGAGTTAGGGTTGGTTATTCAGTTCAGGGTCAGGCTCATAGTTAGGATTAGTGATTTGGTTAAAGGTTAAGATCATGGTTAGAGGTTAAAATTTAGTGATAGGGTTAGGGTCAGGACTATGGTTAGTAATTAGTTTGAGGGTTAGGGTCATGCTCATGGTTGGTGATTAGGTTGAGGGTAAAGGTTATGGCTATGGATAGTAATTAGTTTGAGGGTTAGGGTCATGCTCATGGTTGGTGATTAGGTTGAGGGTAAAGGTTATGGCTATGAATAGTGATTAGTTGAAGGATAGGGTCATGCTCATGGTGGGTGATTAGGTTGAGGGTAAAGGTCATGGCTATGGATAGTGATTAGTTGAGGGATAGGGTCATGCTTTTGGTTAGTAATTGGGTTGAGGGTTAGGGTCAAGATTATGATTAATGATTAGGTTGAAGGTGAGGGTCATGGCTATGGTTAGTGATTAGTTTAGGGTTTGGGTCATGGTTATGATTAATGATTAGGTTGAGGGTTAGGGTCATGCTTGTGATTAGATTGAGGGTTAGGGTCATGCTTGTGGCTAGTGACTGGATTGAGGGTTAGGGTCACGCTCATGGTTGGTGATTAGGTTGAGGGTTAGTGTCAAGGTTATGATTAATGATTAGGTTGAGGGTCATGCTTGTGGCTAGTGATTAGATTGAGGGTTAGGGTCATGCTTGTGGCTAGTGATTGGGTTGAGGGTTAGGGTCAAGGTTAAAGTTTAGGCTTAGCAATTACAGTGAAGTTTAAGATCATGGTTAGTGTTAAGGTTAGTATTAGATGTTACTAAGAACCCAGATTAAGCTAAACTGGGAGGACTTTGTGACTTTAGAACAGTTGCAGTGATTGCATTAACTTAGTGCCTGGACCTGTGTATTGTATCCAGTCCCTGAATGTGGCCCTACCTGCCAGTGCCACTCACCTGGTTTCTGATTGGTATTGCCCCTGCATAGGCTCTGCATTCTTATTGCTGTGTATTTGCAGTTCTCTCACTCTTCAGCTGTACACCTAGAAATGAATGCAGTTGGTGGTGTTTTGGGTAGTTACAATGAGTACTGATTGACAAACCAGTTAAATGTGGCTGACTAGGAAAGTTGCTATTGCATTGTGGGAAGCTTGTCTGAGCTTTCTCTTTTTGTGGTTCAGATCTCCTCAGCGTATGACATGAAGAGAGATGGCCATGGGAGGAGGACCGGTGACGTTTGGAGGAGCAGGCATGACCACGGGAAAAGGAGGTGTGACAATAGGAGAAGCAGGGTTGACCATGTGAAGAGGAGCTGTGACCACAGAATGTGAAGGGGTGGCCATGGAAGGTTGAGGGGTGACCATGGGAGGAGGAGGGATGACCATGGGAAAAGGAGGGGTGACAATAAGAGAAGCAGGGTTGACCATGGGAAGAGGAGCTGTGACCACAGAATGTGAAGGGGTGGTCATGGAAGGTTGAGGGGTGACCATAGGAGGAGTGTTGACCATGGGAGGAGCAGGGATGAACACAGGAGATGGAGGGGTGACAATAGGAGAAGCAGGGTTAGCCATGGTAAGAGGAGCTGTGACCACAGAATGTGAAGGGGTGGCCATGGAAGGATGAGGGGTGACCATGGGGGGAGGAGGGGTGACAAAGACATAAGCAGGGTTCACCATGGGAAGAGGAGATGTGAATAAAGTGTGTGAAGGGGTGACCATAAAAGGATGAGGGGTGATCATGGAAGGAGGAGGGTTGACCATGGGAGAAGGAGAGGTGACCACAGGATGAGAAAGGGTGACCATGGAAGTATGAGGGGTGACCACGGAAGAAGAAGGGGTGACCACGGGTTTAGAAGGTGTGACCATAGGTAGAGAGGCAGTGACCATGAGAAGAGGAGAGTTGCCCAATGGAGGAGGAAGGGTGACCACAGGAAGAGGAGGGGTTATCATAGGATGAGTAGGGCTTACCACAGGAGAAGTAGAGGCAACCACAAGGGGAGGAGTGACCACTGGAAGATTCCAGTCCTTGCATGTATGGGTGGCATTTGGAAGCCTGGAGACACCATAGACTGTAGGTTAGATGTTGCAGGAAGACTACACACCCCTCCAAAGTGATAACGATGTGATGCGTATATTTTGCGTACATATAGTGCTTAGTGTTCTTTAAATCCTAGCTGAGTTTCCTTTTAATGGATAAATAGAGGAATGCGGAACGTTAATCTGTAACTCTGGAAATAATTGATGAAGAAGGCGTGCTGATAACAGCACAAAATCTCTCCGGGATCTCATCACTCACAACACGGCTCTATTTATGAAGGTGACTTTGGCTCTGGTGGGCCCCTCGTGTCATCCAATACCCAAGAAAGTTCCACCAATGAGCCTGGAGGAAGACCAAACCAACAATGGGAAGAAGAGATCCAAGGGGACGCTGCTAGAACTGGATGTAGGGATCGGAAGAAAGTTCCATACAACCAAGAGGAATGGTGGAATCTCTTAAAGGGGGCACCGGGCCAGCCTGGGCTATAGCAACAATAGATAAAATTGCTAATTGTGAGCTCTCCCACCTCTCCAGATTGACATCCACCTACGAAGACATTTTAAAATGTGCATAACTCCTCCCAAGAGCCTGCCCACTGCTTGCATCAGGGCTAAGGGCTCTTGAGAGGAGTACTGGAGCAGGGTGTTGGCTCCTCCAACCAGCCATGGTCTGCCTCCATTGCATCCCTCTTAGACAGTTGTCACCAGAACGGGTGTCCCCATTGGAAGAATTCCCTTCTATTCTTGTTTTGGTGACAACTGTAAATTTGCATCCCAAGCCAACCCAAGCTTGTAGCAGGAAGAATTGTGTACAGATTGTGTAAATACTGAATGTAATATGGACCAGCAGTGGACGCACCCAGGTCCCCCCCCCCC